GAAAGAGAAGTGCGAAGCCTGGACGGCTGAGCTGGCTCTCCGGAGTCCAGAGTCCTAGCTGTCTCCACCCTATCATTATTAGATCAGGCTTCCTGTGACTCTAGAGCAGGTGGAAATGAGGGTGGAGAGGTGGTGCGGTCAGACCGTCTGAGCGCTCATTGCTTCACATCCTACTCAGCTCTCATCTCGGCTCTAACAGTGGCTTTGCCCGCAGCCTTGAGCGAGGTGCTGAGCATCTCTGAGCCTCTGGCTCCTTATCAGTGCATCAGGGAGGATGACACGTCCGGTCCTAGCAGGGCACCGTGACAATGGCTTAGCAAGTCTAGCGCTCTCAGATGTGCCCGTGACGTCAATCCCCTCCGAAGCCCTTTCTCTTTAGCGTCGCTTATCAAAGGGTTCAGGGTTATTATTTATTCAGCAGTGTTTATTTAGCGCAGAAAGCCTTGCTCGGTGCCGTTCAGACCTGACGCTGCCTCTTCTCCAAGCACATCAGTCGGAGATCCTGGCCCTGCCATTGGCTCTGCATGGGCACATTAGAGTTACACGTGGGCACAAAGTCCTGAACATGCAGATCCTGTTGCCAAATGAGGTACAGATAAGACAGATCCGACATATAAAATGCCAAGGTCTAGAGGCTGCTCCTATAGCAGCCAGCAGTAAAGCTCCCAGCACTTTTCATGGTGCAGTCAGGGCCCACAAGGGAGGACTACGAATGCTGTTTCCAGTCGTACAGACCCACAGTGAGCAGGTGAGTGGGAAATGCAACGTATTTATTGGCTCTGTTATCATGTTGAGCCTTTTACAGCATTATCAGGGCTTGGAAGTAAAACTGGAATTGTCCAGACAGAAACATTGGCTTGATCCTCTTATGTGGTGCTTCCAGCTGCTTATCTCACATGTTATCTTGGGACTGAACGTCCTTTATTTTTCTCACTTCCAAAATAAACTTCCTTTTCTGCACTTGTGCACAGACTCACCATGGAGAAGGAAAAGCCGGGCAGAGCGGTCCATCCAGCGGGCCGCCCCTCTGCCTTGCCCGTCTCCGGAAAACCGAAGGGAGTAACTCTATTGTGAAGAAGAAAACGCAGCACGTTTGATGCTGCCCTGGCTTTGAATACTTATAATGCTGACTGAAAGGAGCCGTGCTATTCATATTAGAACAGCTAATTAAAATTTAAACAGTTTTGCTTTTAATTGCTACAGCTAGGTTGGGTTTTTTTGGTTTGTTTTATTGTGTTTCATTTGGTTTTGTTTAAAAAAAAAGGCCAGGGTGCCTGAGAGTAACGTGTTTAATTGCAACAAGTGAGAAGCCGTGCATACCTTGACCATTTCAGAATTAGCAAAGACAGATCACAACTGCCCGTGTAAATATGCATTAGCCCTGCCGCGATCCAGCTCCTGGTTCTGGTAGACTGATTGCATTGCTCAATGCGGTGTGTTTCTTCCATCAGCTAATTCCTTGGGCTTGGCTGGAGGATTTGATTTTTCTCCTTTAATGTGCGTGCTTGCTTATGTGTTCTCAAAAACTGATTTCCCGCCTGTCTTCTGCCGCTCCAACTGTTGGCGAACTCTGTAAGTCAATCCAGAGCTCCAGTTCGGTCTTTGTCAGGTGTTTCTTCAGTTCCTGCTGCTTAAATAGCTGGATTGTGTATAATTAGTTAAAGAGGTAGAGTGCTGCCTAAGTGCTAAGAAGTGTTACATAAGTGCAAGGCACAGCACATTGTGCCGTGGGAAAGGCTAATAGTATTTTGCACCAAAATAGCAATTTTCATCCTAAGTTATCAAAGTTCTTTACTAACAGTGCTTGAGGCTCTCAGCGCCGCTGCAAATTAGGTTATCATTTTAGTACGGCGATGACAACGGCTCATTTACAGCTGAGGAAAATGAGGCACAGAGCAGTATAGTCATTTTTTTCCCTCTGCTGTCACACAGCGAGCAAGAAAACTATTGGGATTGTGAACCTAGGCATCCTGATCCCTGGCTGCCTTCTCTAAATGGTGATGACTCATATCCAGCTACTTGTCCACTGTCACCCCCAGGTCCTTCTCTGCAGAGCTGCTGCCCAGCCAGTTGGTCCCAAGCCTGTAGCGGCGCATGGGCTTCTTCCATCATAAGTGCAGGACAACTGCAAAGTCAAGATGCCCCCTGAAAAATGCAAGCTCTTAGCTTTCACTTCTTTCTTGAATTCAGAAAAAATACTAGAGCGATTACTCCATTGCAAAGAGCTCAAAAAGACCACAACAGGTCAGGATGTTTGAGACACTCTGGATTCCTATTCAAAATCTCAGGGTTTAGCTAGAGAATCGTGTGTGGGTGTTTGCACACCTGAGAGTGCTAATATTGTTTGGCACCCTTTAAAGGAGCTCATGGCACCCCGGGGTGTCCCAGCGCCCTGTTGACAATGACTACTCTAGTCTCGAGTTAGTATGACCCCACTGAGGCAGTTTAATACATGCTACAATAGCAGGGCCATGCAACACCTCTTTCTCCCAGCTAGCAGGACCAGCAAAATCATTCTGGTTGCTGCAAAAGAAAAAATGCCATCAGTTTGCAGAGGGCAGAAATGCTTGGAGGGCACCATCAGGTGACACTGATCCTGAGCACTGGCCATTTGATTAGTTGAATTTTAAGCCAGAAAAGGTCACCTGCGTATCGCAAACCAGCAAACGTCACTCATGTACCCTTGCATTGAGCCTAGTCACTGGCTAAAGCGTATCTTCCAAACAGACATGCAGTCTTGATGTAAAGACATCAAGGGATAGAGAAGCCATTGCTTCCTTTGGTCATTTGATCCAATGTTTAATCACTCTCACTGCTAACAATTTGTTCTTAATTTGAATGTGTTTGGCTTCAGCTTCCAGCTGTTGGGTCTTTTTATGCGTCCTTTAATACGCGGTGTTTTCTCCTGTGACGGTAAGTCACACACTGTAATCAAGTCCTCTCTCAGTCTCCTTTTCGGCAAGTAGAGACCAATCTCTCTCCACATCTCGCTGTAAGACATGGTCTGCAGCCCTCCAACCACTGCTGTGACTCTGAGTCCTCCCCGGTTTTGCAGCATCTGCCAGACAACCTGATTTCACCTGGTATTTGTAGGTTTAACAGAAATCACTCCAAACACTGCAAACGATCCATGCACCGACTGGAGATATGTCGCATTTGTGATAATTGGAGTCTCGGAGAGCCAGGTATTTTCTGAGTTATAATGAGAATCAGACCCTAATTACTGTGTCCCTTTCCCAGGCAGGCAGCGGCTCCAGCAAACAAAATGACCACAATCAACTCATAGGCATGCTGGTATAAGAGACAGCCTTAACTGACAGCATTTTAGCTTCTTAACGAGGAGGCTTTCTTGACGTACACAGTTTGAGGGCCAGATTCTGTTACACATTTATGCCGTTCGGGAGGCGTAAAAGGATTGGATTCTGGCTATAACTCGCCACTGAGGAATTGCCCTGAGAGATGGGCTCTCCCCGCTGGTGAGAAGCCAAACGCTGTTCCCCCAACACACAGGGAGCATGCTTTATGAGGGATGTGGAGGAAGGAGAGTGCATTGCGGGTTCAGCATGGTTTGCATAAAATTCCTGGCATACATGAGAGCAGCCTCTATGCCGCTCAAGCCCTATTAGGGCTGGACCGCTGCAATATCGGTGAACCATCACCGGTGCCTTGACAAGACAACCCGTTGCTCTCTTACGCTGAGCTGTGCCCGAATCCTGCCTGAAAGCTTGAGTGATTCATGGCTTTCCCTTGCCCACCCCTCTTCGGGTATGTTGGGATCTCTTGAACCTGGATCTGCTATGAGCAGGGGGGACTAGATGAGATGTCCACGTGGCATTGACAAAGGGAAGTCAGCACTCACTTCTATCTGAGTGCAAGGGCAATTCAAGAAGGATCCATCAAACAGGTTGGCACCTGGCATGTGTGTCCTGCTTGTGTGGCTGCCCATGACTTTGGCCTCTCCTAGGCACTAGAGTAGTATGAGTGTAACACCCACACACACTCTTGGGTTTTGTGAATGTGAGTTTTTTTTTATGTGGGCAACATGGCCCCTGTGTTTTGGCAATGTGGGGATTTTTCAGGCCAATTGGTTGGAAGAGGAGCGGGACCGTGGTGCTCCCTGATGGACAAGGCCAGGGGGATGCCATGCAAAGGGATATAAGGCGAGGGAAGCTGGTCTGGGGGAGGAGAAGCTGCCAGGAGGTGCTGACGAGCGAAGTCTCCCCCAGGGGAGAAGGAGTTTGCAGATAGTGAAAAGGGAAGCTCTTGTAGCGGGGAGAGAGAAGCAGAATTGTCCCAGTGTCTAGGACCTCCTCTCTTCTCCTTTTCTTCTTTTTTTTTTCTTTTGAGGTTTTAAGGGATTCATACTGGGGGAAAAAGTCTTGGTTCCTTTGGTTTGGGGGCCAGGAGTTAGGCCTGGCAATTTAAACAGGGTTGAAACCTGGGAGTTTCTAACCCTGCCAGTTTTGGGCCGGGGTTGAGGTCCGCAGCTTTCTGCTCCCAGTGGAGCTGTGACCCAAACTACCTGCAGCCCAGGCCTAGAGGGTGGACCTGGTTTTTCCCCTTGTTTCTTTTGATGGTCCTTTGCTTTAGTCAAGCTGTGTGGTTGGGCCGGCTGTAGCTATTACTCAATCTGGCTCTTTTTGGAGTTTTTCCTGCAGTTTTATTTCATCAGGCCATATAATCCAGCCCAGAAGTTTTGGGACATGTGCATGCTGTCTGGAGCTGCAGTCATGCCCTACACACACAGTCAGTCTCTCCGTCGGAGCAAATATTGGCACGCTACTGGTCCTCCAAGAGGGGCCCCTTGCACCTTGTTGCTGCCTGGCAGAAGGGTTGCACGAGCAACGACTTGGGGAAACCAGCATCTCTGGCCTTCCCCAGACCTTGCACTTTGAGAGATGAGCTTAGATCCCAACTCTCCTAAGTCCCCCAGGGACAGTGACCAAGAGCTCAGGCCATAAAGCCAAGCTACTGTTACCAACCATGACACACTCTCTATGCCAAATGGGAGCTGCTCACCTGCATGCATGAGCTGCTGAATCAAGGCCTTAGACAGGAAAAAACAAGAAACCTGGATCCAATTAAACATAATAAGTGATGTCAGCAAAATATGGTTTCACTGGCATTTGGGCAGAGCAACAGAACGAACGCCCACTGTTTGCAAAAAGTGTGTGAGATCTTGGTGACCAACGGGTGGTCAGGACCTCAGTGTAACATCCCACTTGACAAGTAGTCGCTCCAGTAGCACAGTATGGTTTTTTGGTATGTGAGGATCCATTCAACACTTAGACTGATTTAAATGAGATTTTAAAGCTGGAACAGACAGACACACAAGCCTGTTAAACTGATTTAATGGTGCCTGGGATGGTTCAAAAGTATACCTGGGAAATCGGGTGCTCTTTTGAACCAATTCACAATGCAGTGGGTCACTGTTATGTGTCGATACCATGTGTTTCCTGGCCCAAGTCTGGTTGGTCCTCCAGATATCCCACATTGCATTGCTTCTCACTGCCTACTGCCGCAACTGGGCACTCTGGTACATGGCCAGAACTCTACTGCTCCCATTTCCCCCCTTTTTTGGCACTTTTTATCCATGAGTTCCCTTGCACTGCTTGGTTAATAAAAGCTATCTAAGAACCAGCTGTGTCCTCACTGCCTACTCAACTGCGCCCCTCATCGTGCCTCCCAAACCCTGGGAATCTACAAGCATGGGGGCAAGCTCTCTCCCCGCCCTGAGCACTGCAGGGACTGGGCAAGCACACACTACTAAACTTTACTGAACTCATGTTCAGGAGAAAGGAAAGCAGAAAAGTCAACTCTCCACCGACCAGCCACTGGTCACCCACTCGCTAGAGCCCCCAAAGCATGGGTGCAAGACCCCCCCATCATAACTGCAAGGCATAGTGGGTTGGGTGCTCACTTCCCCTTGCCCCGCTCTGGTGTTAGTCATCAGTGTTTCACATACAATTGTAAATAGGTTCCCCATCAGTGACATTTGGGAACGGTTCACGTGTTACGTGCTTCTGCCCCCTCAGCTCCCGTACTGGGGCACTGGACCAGCAATGAGTCAAAGAGAAGTAGTTGTTCTTCCACATCATCTCTCAAACTCTCAAAATGCTTCCCGTATTTCTAGTCTCCCTCTAGATGTTTTTCCGTCCTGCAACATCTCTCAGTTTAGTATCATCTTCACATTGAGCTAATGTGCATTCCCTCTTCCAGATCATTAACAATACTCCTCAAACTGTATCTAAGATTGATCCTCATGATACCCCCAGTCTGGCATCTTGCTGTTCATAATCACTTCTACTTATGACTTGTACTTCACATCCAGGCTAACTCAAATTCATTTTTACAGTAAAGTTTTGTGAGTCACCATATCAAATGTGCGGGTGTGTGACAAACACTGTGTTTTCTCCATCCACTGATTTTATAAATTGAGGTAAAAATGCCCCCCCTCGTCTCTCATACAGTTTGTTCTTTACCATCTCTTACGGCTTAATGCTCATGATTCCAATACCCTCTAAGTACTTACAGATTTATTTATTTTTTTCCCATTATTTTATCTAAGAATAAAGTTAGATTTATGGGACAGCACACCCCAGGATCATTTTTTGTTTCATTCTCTATCTCATCCCTGGTTTCTCTGGACTCTACTCAGTTCTTCATGACTTACAAAAGAATTGGTATTGATTTCATTATTCTCGCTGAAATCTGGGATATGTCATCTGGTCCTCCTGATTTTTATCTGTTATATCAGAGGTGTTACATTCAGGATCTATGTCCTGGGGGGTGGCAGCAGTAGCAAGGGCTGGGTTGTCAGTGATGATGGCTCTTCAGCAGTAGCGGTGGCTGCTGGTTATGGGTCTCCTTTAAGTAGGTGCCTTGGGTTAGTGCCCTGGTCACCCACTACTTGTTATACCATTGCATATTTTTCCTGGTGTTCCTCTACCTGTTTTGGATCACTAGCTACATCCAAAAGAGCTTTCTTAGTTCTTCATGGTACATATTCCATTTTTTTATGGGCATCTTTAATTGTTGGATTGAACATAGAGACACCTCAGGAGGGAGGGAGGCTGAGTGCCACCAGGAACTTGGGTATAACGACTTGCCTTGCAACATCATCGCTGTGTGACCACAGGCGTGTCATCTTGCCTCTCTGTGCCTCACCTCCCCAACCTGTATAATGGGGATCACAATGCTTCCCTTCCTCGCAGGGAGGCTGTGATAATAAATGCATTGAAAGATAGTGAGTGCCTTGCTTTGTGAGAGTGGAGCCAATTAGCTCACCCACAGCCTCACGCGGAGGCAGCTACCTAGCTTCCAGCTGGGGGGTTGCAAGTAAGTGCTTCTGCCCAGCGCTGTCGGGTATGGTAAGGAAATGGTATTGGCCTGCCGTGTCAGACACAAACCTACTAAGGGGAGGCCCTCAGATAGACTTACTTGCTTTAGTGCCTCTCCTGCTGACAGCTTCCTAAATGCCCTTAGTCCTGATAACCTCTTAGTAGTATTAGTTCCTCTTGATTTTTCGCCACCTTTATGCTTTCCGTGCAAGCCTTAATTGGCTGGTGATTTCTTGTTTGCTTGCTTCTGCCCTTTCCCATTTCCAGAATCAGCTGTTTTTATCCTCAGAGCTGCATATCCCCTCAAGGAGCCATGCTAGCTGCTGCTCCGTGGTGCATTATCTTCATCAGAGATGTAGGTTGCTGTACCTTGATTATTGAGTCTTTTTTTAGGGTTAGGCACGGCTAGACTTTAATGATCTACGGCAGCCAGCGCTATGGGCTTGGAGCTTTCCAAGCATTCAAGGAGCCAAGTTCACAAGCTGAGGACAAGCAAGTATGGGAAAGGGAATGGGAGCGATCGGAAAATCCCATGCATCTCGGGGCCTGGTCCTGACTGGTTTAATTGGAGTGGACCCTTAGGCTCCTCTGCACCAAAATGAGACTCAGCCCCTTCCATATCAGTCAGCTTCATTCACGACAGGCAGCACAGCAGAAGCATGTGTTTAGGAGAGATTTAAGCAGACACGAGATCCGGGCTTTGTGAGGATGCTCAGGAAGGCTGCACCGTGTGTGCAGGGCTGGCTGGAAGAAGACCTGGTGAGTTAAGGGAAGTTGGCCAACAGGTGCATAAGACTGGGATTATAAATCTTTCCCACATCACATCCTAAACTCCCCACTTTTTCCATCATCCTGCATCAGTACATTTTCTTCGGAAAGTGTGATTTTCCTCTAACTCCTCCCTGTTAGGTTTGTGCCAGGGCCTTCATAAAGAAATGACCCCACCACAAGCGTGGGAAACAGCATCACTCAACTCACGGGCACAGAATATATTGCAAACTTAAAGTAAAATTGGATTGCATCAGCCTTTGCAGATTCAGCAGAAAGTTAGATTCACACATGCAGATTCAACATATCTCCATATAGGACCAGTGGGGAGGAGGATGCATGCCTATGCAGCGGGTGGAAATGCATAACTCTTCTTTTCCCTTTCAGCATTGTTTCCCTGGATTTGAATCCCTTTCCTGAGTGCTGGGACCACATGCACGTCCAGGGTAAGCCCTCACATCCCTATGCAAAAATATGTCAAGGGGCAGAGCTGAAACTATTGCTCAGTTTTGTCTGGCTGTTGAAAATAGCAATACTGTGGTATCCACTGCCCCTGCCACTTCCTCGTTAGGAAAATGTAGTGATTTCTCTGAGCTTATTCTGAAGGTAAGGATGACTGAGGTCTGCCTTGTACTAAACATTTGCCCCCGCCACCCCTGGACATTTTAGTATGAGTCTGTCTCCATGTCTTTATGTCTCTTCATGTTGTAGAGTCTCCTCAAATATAGTGAGGAACAAAATGACTCTGCACACTGGCATGGCCAACACGGCCAACAAATGCTGGTCAGCAAAGAACATATTGTGGAAGCAGAGTAAAACTATAAATCAATTGCCAACAGCAGGTTCAATAATAAAAGTTCAGTTTGATTCTCATACGCACATTGAATTATTTCATAGTGCTGATGTCTGACAACTTCACACCACGTGCCCCCTGCGCGTCCTGAGCACACCCAATCTATGTCTTGACTTGTACCAGGTTTATACCAACGGCATATGGTTCAATACCAGCTCACAGTTCGTTGAAGACCTCGCTGCCTTTGCCACCTGTTCAGCTTTGTTATTTTTTTCCTTTCATGGCTCTGAGCAAGGAGTCATCTCCAGAATATGGTGTCTTCCCATGGTGAGGTTGTTCTGAAGGTCCAGGTGCTCCACAATTCAACTCATCTTTCTTGTGCTGAAATTTGAAGTCCAGAACAGGCACCCTTACTCTCTGGGATTTTCTGTGAACCACAGCTCAGGTGATACCACCGATCTTATAGCACATAAACTATAAAATGCTCCTGGCTCATGAGCTCCTGAGGGGCTTGCTTCTCCTATCTCTAAGGAAGACTAACACCTTGACCCTGACATAGGATCTAAAAGGCCAGAGAGACAGGGGTCAGATGATGCATTATTGCAGCTGAGAAATGCTTCCATGAGCTCCTGGTTGAATCTTTTGATGAGCCTTATGTCAAGACCTAGTTGCTGATTCAAGCACAGAATTAGTATCCTAAACAGGTAAGGAATCCTGAATGCTACGACAGAGGAAAATCTTGGTAAATTTATAGCACAACTTCAATGTTTTAAAAGTGTGGGAGCAGATAAGGAAAACAGGTGAGATAAAAGAGACCGTGCAGTCTGCAAACCCCTATATTTTGGCCGTCGGGATCATATCAGCAAGTGCCTTAAGCTTATCTGTGTAACACATGTCCTTGTCTCCGTAATAAAAGGATAGACAGATTTCAAAACCAACTCACAGCAAAGATTCGCTCAAGCATTGGCAGGCAGCTCAGGATCCCGTTGAAGCTATGTACTGAGACCAGATGTCACTTAGTGATTACACAACCCTTCACCTCCCTAAAGGAGCAAAATGATCAATCCAATGAGTTATTTTTTCTAGATTGATGCCCAAACTTATACCACAGGAGGAAAGGAATCAAAAACTGATAAGACTCATCAGTCACCAAATGTGGCATGCATGTTTTCTTTCTCTCCTGTTTGCTGTCTGCTTATGCTAACTTTAAACGCTGGTGATTCATTCTGTAGGTGGCCATTGAGGAGAACACTTACCTATACAAATACGGAAATGTGCTATTTTTATAAGATTAATTGCTGTTACGATGACAGAGAACCATATTCAATCTATCAAGGAAGCTGCTCAGAGATCAAGTCAAATCAGTCCCCAGGCCGCACCGACCACTGGGGCACTTTATATGCTGTACCAACCCTCCTCTACTCTGCTGTGCGTTTGGCGAGCTTTGTTCAGTCTGTCAAGTGAAGAAGCCCCATCCAGTCCTTAAAATTGGTTCCTCAGCTCTTCTTGGGTCTACCTT